TAATTTTAAGAAAATTAATAGCATGTTATTAGACAATAGGAGTGTAATGATATTGACTAAACAGAAATGAGAGAATAGAGATATAATTTTGATAAGCAATATTGCGAACAAATTCTGAAGTAAAATTGCGATCAATAATTGAAAATTACGATCATGTACTGAAAAATGACGATCGAATTGAATGAATAGAATTATATCTAAGAAAAAATAAATTGTATTTAGAAGATGAACAAAGAAAGGTGTATGCTAAAAATCATTTAACAATAAATGGAAATAAAACAAAAAAAAAAAAAAAAAAAAAAAAAAAAAAAAGAAAGGTAGTGGGGCTTCCAGGCACTTCGTGCCTTCTAGCCCCGAAGATGTTTAGTATAAATGAAGTTTTTATTCGGAAAATTGTTAGTCTTCTGGTGTGAATTCGGAGGACTCTTCTTCTTCCTCTTCTTCGTCATCGTCGGCGTAGTGGAAGAGGACGTAGTTCATCCAAATTCTGTATGGACGTCCTGATTTGGATTTAAATGAGATGGACATATTTTGTGTGAGTGTTATTTCAGTTTCGATAAAGAGTTGGTGTGCTGGTTTGAATATATGTTCGACGTAGGAGAATTTGTGCAACTCATCTTCTCCCAATTCTGTATTGATACAGACTTCGATGAAGTCACCACTAGAATGTCTTCACCTGTGGGCATATCCACAACAATTAAATGAACGACACAATAGTTGTGAAATTCATTAGTAGGAAATACTGTTGCAGGCGTATTATATGAGGGGAAAAATGTTTTTTCTTCCCAAATTCATCTGCTACTTCATCTTCATCGTATCCGTTGTTAAAGCTTTAAATTCATGTACAATTTGAGCAAATTGTTGACGGAGATTTGGTGGCATACGTAAGCAAGCTTGTAACAATGTCCTACCTTCCAGCAACTCAGCAAATATGGGAAGGTAGGAACATATAATGTCCGTCAATTGTCTCTGGTTGGGGACCAATTGACAGAGTTTTGTGTATGCCGTTATTGTTTCTTTAACGGTATTTGTGTAGATACGGTTATATGGAGTATTTCCCTGGTTGTTAAGGGAAAAATACTCATCCGATTGTAATTTCAATCTTGACCTCAACTCTTTGTTCGGTATTCTTTGGTCTATATCTTAGAGCTGTATTTTGTTCGTGCGGGCTGTGGTTTTAAAACATTCGAGTCAAGTTTTAATTGCTTCGAATTGGATGTCGATTTGAATTGGGAGTCTTTTGAGTTCTCCTGAGCTTGGTTCTGTATTAAAGACTGAATAGCAGTGTCAGCTTCTTGTTTTTCGAGATAGTATTCTATTGAATTGGGCTTCACTGTTCGAGACGCGTACATTATGAAAAATGAACTGTTTTTTTTTCGGACCACTCATAGAAAAGTTTGAGATAAACCGTTTTCGTCAACGGTAACACTCTCTATTTTTTTATTTTATTTAATAGTTACCGTTGGCAAACCGTTCCATCTCAAATATTGAATGAACTATAAACGTTTTTTGTTTTCTATATATACTTTTTTGTCCAACGGTAAAACTTTTTACACAACGGTTTTTGAGAGTCGTCGCCGTTGACTTTTTTGTAGAGCACTCAAAATAGTATAACTTTGTCGGACAAGTAAGGGTCTATCGTCGCTACAGGAAAAGTTACAGGCGTTCCAAGGAAGTACTTTGAGAAGCCTTTTCCCCTTATAGAATGAGATCGGACGGTTATTTTACAAAACTGACAACACTTTGACCGAGTAGTTTTTTGTGCTGAACAAAAAGTGTCATATAAACATCTGTCAAAACCGCTTTTTAACTTCACTTAAAATGCCACGTAAGCTACGTAAGATATACGTAAGAGGAAGGGAGCATTGAAACATCCAATAGTAAAACGGACACCACAACAACAGTTGCAACAACAAATTATGAATGACCCCACTATGTTGCAACAAATGTCAAGCAACCCTATGCTTTTAAACCGAGTTATTGGTGCACAGAGTGGAGGTTTAAGAGCGGCACTTTTAGCGAAAATGGCAGGCTATGGTGGAGCTGCAGACGGAACAGCTTATAACCCTCAAAGTCAAATGAATTTGAGTTCACTCAAAAATCAAATAACAGATGTCAAAAAGTCAAACATAGACATACAGAAACAATAAGTGAAAACGAAAAGAAATAGAATATGACAGACACACAAAGAAACTCAATGAGTTAAACGTAGAGAAAAAGAAGAAAGAAGAACAACTGAAAGAACTAAGTACAGGGAATATGCGAAAAAAGTGTCAGAAAAAGCAGCAGAAGTAGCAAAAATGGAACAAGATGTTATAAATTTGAACCAACTACTACTCATAATAAGTACTGAAAGATGAAGAAATAAAACAAAAAGCCCTGAAGACATATATGGATAGCGATGAGTATAAAAAAGAAGTTGAAGCAAATGTAAAGGCAGAAAAACTTTTACAGTTGCAAAACCAAACCGTACAGTATGAAAACTTAGCACAAGAAAGTAAAAATAACGACGCAGCCATGCAAAAGGCAATGAAAGCGCAGAATATATAAAAGCTAATAATGACTGGTTAGATGCCCAAGCCAACGCTAAAGCAGCCCAACTTATAGGGTCAATAAGGACAAAAATACAAGCGATGAAGACAGTTCAAATGAAGCTTTAATGAATGCTGACTTTAAGAATGCCTTCGAAGCTCTTCATAGTAAGGTGAAACTAGTGAACGACTTCTCATCTGGAAGAAAGAAAGATCTGAAGGTTCGATACAGAGTTAAAAAACACAAAATGACGAAAATAACGAGAGCAACGAGACAGGCAGTTCAAATATGCGCCGTTAGAGTGTAGAGCAATTCAGAAAAAAGTTACAAAGAACTAAACGACCTAGTAAATTTCAAAGAGACGAATAGCTAGTGGAATTTCAAGTCAAGAATGAGAGTAGATCTACTAAGAGCGTGTATGCTCAACAGTCAGAAGCTTGAAACTTACTTACCACACACACACTCCAAGAGAAGCACTGCACCAGGACTACCTAAAACATTTACATCGTCACATGGACACAGACACAGGCATGCACCAAAACCAACACAACAACCAACAGTTCAAAACCCTGCACAACAACCAACAGTTCAAAACACTGCACCACAACCAACAGTTCAAAATCCAGCACCACAACCAACAGTTCAAAACACTGCACCACAACCAACAGTTCAAAACACTGCACAGCAACAACCACAAACAGAGCAAGGACATAAAAGAAGTAGAGAACAAGGAAACCAAGAATTCTTAAAAATGCTTAAGGAAAATTATGGTTACCCAGATACTCTACTTTAGTGACAGATATAAAGAAGCTATTAGAAAGTTCAAGGAAGAAATACTGACCCGAACCTATTAGCTTTATGGTTCAGCACCAATGGGTATAATTTCAAACCTGGAAAATACAAGCTCGCTAAGGGATATGATTTAATAGCATATTCACAAATGACATGGATGAATTTACTCCGAGATATTTGGTGTCAGAGATAAATGATAATTCAACTATCTTCATGAAACGCGTAAAAAATGAGAACGAACGAAAGAAGAAAGGGTTATGAATGCGGATGGCTTAAATAGGGAACTTGTTAAAAACGTCTCGAATATATGAAATGCCAGCAGATGAGGTACAAGAAACTCCACAGGAAGAAGTTCAGATACAACCAGACATGGAGAAATAATTCAGCAACAACAGCTAGAAGAGCCAGAAGGAAACGAACAAGTCCCTCCTTTGGAAACTAACTTCACAGAACTAGATGAAGATTTGGAACAGCCGAAAAATCTTGACCCTCAACAAGAGTATGCGGAGAATATGGAATCTTTCCAAGAGTCTAAGAAAAATTCAGCTGACATAGTAGAAGAATATCGAAAAATGTTCGCCGACATACAAAAGACTCCAACATCAGATGAAAATATTCAGCATAGAATGGAAGTACTGAAAGAAAATGTACGCAAATACAATAACCCTTTTTACTTACGACCATATAACGTTCAATCTTTGGCTGAACTCGGTGAAAATAAAAGGTTAAATTTCAAAAAAACATATAGAAATGAAACATTGTTTAAAGTTCATTCAGAACCTAACCAATATGGAAACAAACCTACTTTTGTTTCTGCAGACTATGGAACTACAATGAGATGGGGTCATAAAGCTAATCCGGATAGGTGGTTCATAAACTTACAACCACAATTCCAAGAAGTTGTAGACGCAATGGAAGTGAATGGTGAACCAGATATAGCTGGTATTTTCAGCGCGGCTTTAATGCCATTGAAAGATATGAAACATGCAGATATTTTGGACCAGTATGAAATGAACATGGCTGATGGAAATATAACACCTGACGTTCTAGAACATTTATCTCAAGAACTACACAGAACCATAGAGATGGTATATTTGGTGAAGAGTTTAGAAAGAAAGTTAGGGAGATAGAAGGAAGAGAACCTATTGTACATGACCTTGCAAACGAAAGTTTACAAATGTCATAAAAACTTACTTTGCAGACAATGAACTGAGAAGGGATGAATATTATAGAAAACTCAAATGGACAGTACCAAATGAAATGTTAGTATTGAAAAACATGTTCCTTGACAAAATAAAACCAACTACAGAAATAAATGACGCAAGACTGAAACATTGGGTAAAGCTTTCCATTCACAAAAGATATTATTGGTAACATGGAAAGAAAACCAGAATGGCTACAAAAACATATATTTGGAAACGAGCATATTCCATATGGACAAGACTATATTTGAAGAGCTTGAACCGGAACTCAGGAAAGAGTCATGCAACAATACGCGAAGACTCAAATACAAACTATGACAAAATCTTTCTAGGATATAGGTTACCTGAGATGGGCGACCAGAGCCCAAGGCAAAAAGGACATGGGAAATTTACAACATACTAGGTGAACATGAGGCAAAGATGCAACAACTTGAAGCAGAGGGCAAGTTACCAAAAGCGACACCAAAAAGAAGAGGAAGAGTAGAACAAAGTGAAAGTAGTGAAGAGTAACTTCATCTAGTGAAAGTAGTGGCAATGAAGGAAAAAGAAGAGTTAAAAACTCAGTCAGGAAGAAAGTAAAGCTTGGTACGAGTGGGTTCTATTATGACACATAAATCCAACTATTCTATATTTTTACCCATATGAAATGTACGCCGCTCAGAATATACGCCAACAGTTTTGGATGCCATGAACGGAAATGTTTCCGAATGGTTAACGAATGCGACAATGCCATTAAGAGTCAGAAATAGTTCCTGGAACTTACAATATACAACTGCTGTTTCTTATGGAAACGTAGGTGAGTTTGGAGAAGGTTCTTCAACAACAGTAGATATTGCTTGCGACAGGTTTCATATTATTTCTATTGACAACTCATTCTTATACGTGGAACAAGACATTGAAATAAAACCTTCTGCCAAGTTGTCTGACAAGAAAGGTTGCAATGGATTTTCTATGTCGGATACCAATATGCTCCAGAAGTTTTCATGGGATATAAGATATATTCTAACTCTGACTTAGTTCAAACAGTAACATGGGCAAACTATGAATGGTTCGCTTTGAGAAACTCAGTACAACCACAAGCTAGAGAACAAACAGACCAGTATGCAAATATTGAGAAAATAAGAAGACTTGACCCTAACGTTCCAGGAGTTTATGTTAACCTTTCTGGTTCAGATGGAACTGCTGCCACTAAAGTAAAACTGAAACTTAGTTCCTTTGTCATCTTTCCTCATCTTCAGGTTTTTAAGATACTTGCCAAACTGGGCAGGAAAAATTTCTATCGAATTACTCCAAGCAAAAATAACTTAGTCATTGCACCAACACAAGACCCATTAGCATTACTGTAGCTGGAACTGGTGGAGCCAAGTTCTGTGACTTTTGCAAAGACAAAGTTGACTTAGACTTTGGTTTCTCAAACTTCAACAATGAAGTAAACTATTATTTCAATGCTGCTGGAACTGCTGGGACCCAGTTAAGTTCACATGCGAAAAGTTTGAATGCAAGAGAATAGAAAGCAGACTTGCAGTCTATATGTTGGACCAGATATTTCAAATGCTTTAGCTGCCAAATATATTGCAGTTCCACTTATGTTCCTATACACCAAATATCTGTCAAAGACTTTGCAGGTGAAGTTGGAAACCAAAGTGCTGACCCAGGTGCAAAACAGATATTGCTTTAACAAACTGCAATGAAACATGCAGATACTATGTTTGTACTGTTCAGACGAACTATAAATGACTATTCTTGTTTCTACAACCCCGGTATTAAATATCATATAAACATAGATGGCAAATATTATCCAGAGAAGAATATTCTCAGTTGAGGATATGGGTCATACAACTTGACATTAGATGCTATGAACTTTAACAACAACTTCACAACAACCATTAACCCTGAAATGCAAAGTTCTATTATGCCATATGTGAAAGTATGGACTCATACAGGAGTCAAAAAACTCAATATACAAATGGAGACCGTTCAAACTTTTGGCTTGGCATTCCATTTGCTGACTCAGAAGACTTTATGGGTGGTATTTCAACTGTTGGTACTGTACAAATACAATATACTGGTGACAGAGACGGTCCAGATGAACTGAGAGCAAAGAAGTTTACAAAACCAATAGCACTTTTCACGGAAGATGCTCTTTTGAAGATTCGTTCGATGAAACTGCTGGGGCTCCTCAGATTGGCATAACGACAGCTTCCATCGGCAGATTTTGGCAGCAGGTCAGTAAGTTGTTCTTGAACTGACTTCTCTCCCGTCAAATATTGACAGTACGCCAGTTTTGAATCAAAAATTGTAGATAACTTACCTTTAGAAATATCTGTAAGTTTTGTTGTTTATATTTTGTCAACGTCAAGAACTTTCACCATTTCAGTTATACCAACTTTCTTTGCTTTATGAAAATATTTTGGTTCAGCAAATATTGCTATTCTATAACATTTACCATTGTTTGTTAAAGAACTATTCTGTCAATGTATTTGTATTGTTTGTGTGTGTAAACTTTGTTCTGCTTCAATTCGAAGAGATACTCGAATACGTCCATCTTTTATTCTAAGTAAAATGTCATTTCCGAAAAATAGAAGCGTGAGTGTTTCAAAAGGTTTAATGGCGGTGGCAGATGTGAAGTTAAATTCACCAACTCAAACAAACGTCAAATGTTGTTGTCAATGTCAAAGACAGAGATGTTGAAGTGGGGAAACCATACGAAGACGAAGATGGTATAACAATTGTTCCTGTAAAAGAACCAACATATCCTGAAGTTAGCAGAGACTTAAGTTCTGTTGCAGATATTCGAAACGACTACCAACAACTGAAAGACAAACTTCAAACTCAGGAGAAGATTTGTCAAGCTTTAAGTATAATGTTAAACTTGGTCGAACACAACCCTGTAAAAGTGAACTCATATGTCATTGCTACCTCATCATGAAGTTTTGAAAGAACTATTGAAACTTTTGACAGAGGCAGACGATATAAACATCAAAGAAATAGAACCCGACATTAGTTTGCTGTGGTGTTTCATATAATGTCATTGACAAGATATACGTTATGAAAGGAGGTGAAACGTTGAACTTAAAGTATAGTTTCCAGACGTTATAAAAAATTTGACGACCACAACATTTCATTAAAATTTATTTGCTAAGTAAAAATGTCAAAACTTCTTGAAAGATGTTTGAAGAAAATAATATAGACTTTATTTCATTAAAGGACTTTACACACTTTGAACGATATGAAAGACCCTGTTTGTTTGTTCGTGTAGACAAAGGAAAGTTCTATGTCTTTACAAAATATTTGAACTTCTTAGACAGAGAACTTCAAGAAACGCCATGTGAAAGTTTAGATGAAGTTCTTCTCCACTTTCAGAAAAACTTTTAATATATATAAATGCAGAAAGATATAATGGTTTATACTATTACGACTAAAAACCCTGAGTCATATAATTCTAATAACAACACTTACAAAGTCTCAAGGACGGTATTGTAAACTAACTTTAAAACAATGACGACTAAAGCCTGTTTTGCTCTTTTGACACCAGAAAGACTTTATTGTTGTGAATGGTAAAAAATACTCCTTTGAAGATACTTACTCAGATATACCACCAACAGGTTTTGTTGACTTATTTAATACTTTAAGGACGGGTGTAACATGTGCTGCAACTAGAGCAGCAGTTTTCATTATGTTTTGGATGTCCGACTGAGTTTACTATAAACGATATGAGCTATAATACAAAAACTTATATCTGGTTTTTTACTACAAACAGTTTCCTATAACAGGAAAAGGTGTCATACAAGGAATGTCT